GCCAGCATTCCGGCTGTCTTGACTTGAAAAAGAGAATTTTAGATGCTTAGAAACACACTTGTCTATGACATTACAGCTTTCAGAGAGCAGAAGAGAACAGGATGGGTGCAAGAAAAACAGATCCAGGCTTCACAGGCATGAATCCTGCCAAACAGAAGTAACCCAAGTCTGTGTAAAAAAGCAGATATAACTATCAGAGTGCTTTGCTCTCATTACAGCAGAACAGCGTGATCAGAAGGGGGAGAGCAGAGCACACCAGAAGGCCACAGGACATCAGGGACAAAACAGCTCACCTTAGACCACTCCACGATGCAGTCCAGGCAGAATTCATGAGAACAGTTCTCAGGAGTCCCAACAGCCTGATCCCTAAACGTGTTGAGGCAAATGGGGCACGTTTCGCTATCCTCAGTTTCTTTCTCCTCTTCCTCTTCTTCATCATTGACTTTGCCATCTTAAAAAGTGAGAGATGAAAAACAGCTCTCGTGTGCTGCGGGGCTTCAGCGGCGAGGACAGAAGGGGCAGGTAGGATGGGGTTCCAGGTCACAGAAAATTCCAAGTAAGCTTATTTTATGGGGCTGCAAGGGCGAAGCACAGCCTCCCCTGAGGTAATAAGGTTTGCCGTCTTCTTTTTTGCTAAATCCCTTCACCAAAAAGCAATGGGTTACTCTGGAGAAAAATAAAGCCTGATAATGTGACTGGTCTTGTAAGAGATTCAAAGGACAGACGGCAGAAAAACAGCAGCTTATCAAGAGAGTAGGATATGTCAGGCTACCCCTGAACACTGAAGTTAAAAAATAAACTTATAAAGTTATCACGTATCCAACTTTTTTTTTGTTTAAATAGACACTCCAGAGGACAACCAGCAACACACTCACCTGCAGAAGAACACATTAAAAGTTTCACTAGTAAATCGTGATTTTTAGAGTCAAGGAATCTGGGTGCCTAGCTGAAGACTGCTTAAAGAAGATTGGTTTTGAGTAAAATTCATTTTAAACACTCAGCACACATTGTTGAATCGTGTTTTTATTTTTAGTACAAAACACAGAAACCTGTGTTAGAAAAGACTCTCGCTTGTGGGTTTTTTTGGGGGTGGGTGGCTGTTGTTTTGTTGGGTTTTTATTTTGTTTGGGGTTGGGTTTTTTTTTTTAAATTATAAGAATGGGGCCCTTCTCTTATCTACTGAATTCTCCCATCTGGACATAGCAGAGAAGACTCTAAACGATGGATTAATAAAGCTTTTTGGCACCTGATGCCAACTTTCTAGTCAAATGTGTTCAAATCAGTCTAACCAGTAGCTTGGAAAACTGGACCTTTCCAACAAGCTTTAAGATGTGACAAACCCCTCCAGTTTTGTCTATCCAAATAATAATTTGAGCCCAGCAGTTTCACAAGTATATGCATCTACAGACCGCGTTTTCAGTAAAATTAACACATTCAAGTAACATCTACACTCCTATTCCAAAGAAAAATTTGTCAAGTCTTCTTCTATCCTCCCTGGGCTTAATAGCAACAGTAATTTATTTCCAAAACTCCCCATCACAACATTCACTTTAGAGACCCACACTGCAGGGTTTGGGCGTCGGCCTGACATCCCACTCTTCCTCCAATTATTAAAAAAATGCCTGTAAACACACATTAGCAGACCTACCTTCTAATTCTTCATCTTCACTTTCTTCCTTGTCCTCCTCACCTCCTTCTTCCTTGGTGTCATCTTTTTCCTCCTCACTTCCGGTATCATCTTCTGAATCACAGCTATCTTCACCACTGCTTTCTTAAAAACAAAAGAGAAGAGAGGAAATACCTATCTGATGCAGACAGACAGGCAGAACAGCAAAGGACACACAAGAACTCCTGCTGAGGACGTTACACACAAAGTGAAAACTCAGATTTCCTCCATGGTACCAAAGCTGCCTGTTCTGAGAAACTCAAGGGAAGCATGCCTGCGGTCTGAGGTACAGAATTTAGGACGCAAACCAAAGAACTTCTCAGGGAAAGGGAAATAAACGGTCACAAATATATCTTTACTTCTCTTTGGACGCTAAACCAACAGGTTCTCCAACCGAGAACTAGAAACCTGCACATGCAGAGTGGCTGTATTTACCTGTTTCGCTGAGGAGCGCGAGACGCTGTCTTTTGCCCTTGAGTACTGCAGCATTTTTGTTTATCAGTTCATCCTGGCTGTCATCATCCATGGCAGGACATTGGGAATCTGCTCCCTGCAAGAAGGCAGACTTCAGTGAGGCAGTGCACCACCTACGCAAGCAGAGCAGGCGTCAGCCCAGCAAAGAGCATCCAGCGCATCTGCGGAGACGTGAACGGCAGAAGCGACATCGCTCTACAGCAAAGGCTCCTCACGCCATTGATTAGTTTTCCCAGTTTCAGGTCAGAGGCGGCTACCGGTAAGCAGTTATCATTACGTGAAGTTTCACATCTCTACTGAGCTAGATTAAACCAGTTGCTTGTGAAACACAGTTTGGGTGAAAGACTCAGCTTTATCTTGGGCTCCTGGATGACAGAAAAAGGTATAACCAGAATTTCCCACTGAAAACAGGAATACAAAACCCGCAAACACCAAAACCATCCTATGGACTAGCAATAAGATGCAAAACAAAGGAACCAGAGGCCCTTTAAACAAGGCAAAACAGGATGACAACGTGTGTTTCAAATCAAAATACTCTATCTCGCTCAGCTGAAAAGAAACAAGAAGAAAGATTACTTATTTTAGGTCTTTTTAAGAAAAGGCCTTTTCACGGGTCTGTCACGAAATATTCCACAGAAAGGAGGAGACTTGATTTGGTGCATATTAATGCAATCATATGGATTGCTGTGCATTAGCATGGACTGGCAATAAAACTGACAGATACTCAGAGATGTCTCATGATCCAAACTCGTAATGACAATCAAACCAGAGCTCTTAATATATAATGCTACAAAGCATTAAGACAGACAGATCCCTGCAAGCTTCCATCAGAAAGTCATGGAAAAATATAATTAACTGAAACTTTATAAAGCTAGACATCATCTCTCAGTAAGTTAAAAAAAAGGATTCCAGTCATACGCACCTTCCTTTCTAGCACCAAACAATCTCCTCCACCAACAACTTCTTACAGCAATTTCTCGTTTTCAGAAACAGAAGAGCTACTAGACAAGGCATCTACTTTGATCTGCTTGGGTAACATTCAGGATTGCACACAGGCAAGAAAACCAATCAGCTGGATTTTCTCACAGGATGGTTTTGAAAGCTGATCTAATTTCATGGGCAATTATTGAGCATTCCTGTTCCAAAGAGCACTTCTAACTTAAATTTAAGTCTACTAAATATTCAAACACATGAGCTTTCAGTTCTCGTTGGCATATCCGCTTTATTTGTTGGTCTTTTTTTTGTTCTGCCCTTTTTTTTTTTTCCTCCAAATTGACCAAACAATTCAGTTCTCAAACAATTCAGAGTCTGGCACCATCCTCCTGACACACACCCTTAAGATATTTATAGGCATTTATAAGGTCCTCTTTCAGCCTTCTCTTCCTCAGGCTAAACAAGCCCAGCTCCCCCAGCCTTTCCTTGTAGCCGAGATGCTCCACACTATTCCCATCGTTAACTGCAGCTTTCCCTGCTTTTTATGGGCACGGCTGGGGAAGCAAACAAACAAACAAGAACTCCTGCACTTTCATGGGGCTTTTTTTGTGCATAGTCATAACAAGAGGTATCAAGATCTACTGACCTACAAGAAAGGAAATAACACAGTGAACACCTCTGCAGCACATCAGCAACACATCCGTGCAACAACCGGCACGAAAACCAGTAACTGGAAGAACAAAAAGCACGCCCACCCCGCTGTTACTGGGCACGGGGCGCCCAACGAAGGCTTAAAAACCTGTCAGCTCCGTTCAGACAAAGCTTGAAGCCTCAACGCGCTTTGGCAACAAACTAACGTGCGGTAGGAGAAAACGCTGGCACGAAAACCTCATTTCTTCGTGTTGGCCGAGAGACCCCCACGGACTTCACTGTGGAAGGCTGAGCAGCCCGCAACTGCTTCAAATGCGCTCATGCCGGCACCGCAAACTGCG